GGAGGACGGAAGCCATAGCGAATGAAAAAACTCTCTCACCATTATTCTATGGTATGTTATTCTTGTTGTTGTTGCTATTTTTGTCCATTATTGTTGTTGTTGTTCTCCATTATTGTTGTTGTTTCTATTGTTGATGTTGTTGCCAACGTCATTGTTGTTGTTATTGTTACAGTTTTTGAAATTGAGTGTTCATTTTTGTTGGATGTGTAATTTTTTTAATTTTATTTTCAGAAGCTTTATATGATTATGGATCATAGTTGGACGAAAGTCAATAGATTAAGTACAAAAATTCTGAGATTGGAGTGATACAATTTCTTGATTTTGTGGAAAAAACCTTCCTAACAATAATAATATTTTTTAGTGTCCTTGTAAAAAATGTTATAAATGAAAAAACATCCAAGGGATGTTATATTAAATCATTGGGGTTGTGATAGAATTATTCAAAATTACATGAAATGGGTATGGCATGGTGAAGGGACAAAAAAGAGACCTCTGTCACATACAGTTGAAGAGGAAGATGAAGAATTTATGAATGATACTCTAGAAGACATGATTCATGATATTAGAGTAGATACTTTTAAGAAAGCTAATGTGGTAGATACTTTTCGAAGAGACATGGAATATTAATTGTATCTTGGATGTAAAAGTTTTACAAGATTGTCAGTTGTGTTAAGACTATTTAATCTTAAGACAAGAGGTGGGTGGACGAATGAAAGTTTCATTGAATTGATTGAATTGTTGAAAGAAATGATTTCTGAAGGTAACACGTTTCCGAACCATACTTATGAGGCTAGAAAGATATTGTGCCCAATGGGGTTGGACTATGTCAAAATACATGCATGTCGTAATGATTGCATCTTATATAGGAAAGAGTTTGAAAACTTGAAGGAGTGTTCGAGGTGTGAAGAGTCACACTACAAGCAGAAATACAATGGTGTTGATGATGATGGTGTAACTAGCAAGGGTGTTCTTCCAAGGTTCAAGAGATTGCTTACTAATGTTAGTTACACAAAGAATACTAGATGACATGTAGATTAAATAGTGTGTGATGGAAAAATTCACCATGTAGCTGATTCAGTGTAATGGAAGAAAATTGATTCCTTATTTCCATATTTTTTCCTTGAACCGAGGAACCTTAGGCTTGGACTTACCACTGACGAAATGAACTCTTTTGGTAATTTGAGTACTAAACATACACCATGGCTTGTACTTCTCATAATATACAACCTATCTTTATGGTTGTTCATGAAGCGCGAGTATATGATGTTATTGATGATGATTTCGGGTCCAAAACAACCAGGGAACAATATAAATATTTATTTAACGCCATTGATTGAATATTAAAGAATTTTGTGGGAGGAAGGTGTTACTGTTTATGATTTGTATACAAGTGATAACTTTAAGTTGTGTGCCATGTTGTTTTTCACAATCAATGACTTTCCTACATACGATAATTTTCCTGGGTACAACGTCAAGGGACATAAAGTGTGTCCTATATATGAAGTTGATGCATGTCACCACCAATTACAAAAAGGAAAAAAGAAAGTATATCTTGGGCATCAAAAATTTCTAAGACCTAACCATCCATATCGTAGATTGCGGAAGGCTTTTAATGGAGAGTAGGAGTTTGATATCGCTCCAAAGCCCTTAACCGAGAAGGAAGTTTATAAAAGACAAGAACACATTAACATTATCTTTGGAAAGAAACAAAAAAAGCCCGTGGAGAAAAATATTTGGAAAAAGAGGTCGGTATTTTTTTATCTTCCATACTGGTCTAGTCTTGATATAATGCATATGGAGAAAAATGTATGTGATAGTTTGATTCGAACACTTCTCAATATTAAAAGCAAGACAAAAGATACTAAGAAATCCTGCGAAGATATGGTTATGATGGATATACGAAAATATTTAGTCCCAAAAGAAGTAGAAAATAGAACTTATTTACCCCCAGCATGTGACTCTGTCTAACAATGAAAAAAGTTTTTGCGATTGTTTGTAGGGTGTCAAAGTTCCCCAATGGTACTCATCAAATATGAAAAAACTCGTGTAAGAGAGAGATCACAAATTATTTGGCCTAAAATCTCATGATTATCATTTCTTGATGCAACAACTTCTACCAGTGGCCATCTATGACATTTTACCAAGAAGTGTAAGGATAAATATAACTAGATTGTGCTTATTCTTCAATGTTATATGTAGTAAATTTATTGATCCTGGAAATTTAGATGACTTTGAACACGAAACTGCAATTATCTTATACCAATTAGAGATGTTTCCCCCCATCATTCTTTGACATTATGGTTCACTTAGTTGTTCATCTAGTAAGAGAGATTAGAATTTATGGTCTAGCTTATTTGCGGTGAATGTATCCGGTAGAGCGTTACATGAAGATTATTAAAGGGTATATAAATAATCATCACTGTCCAGAAGCTTCGATTGTAGAAATGTACATCACAAAAGAAGCTATTGAGTTTTGTATAAACTATTTGTCAAAAGCAAAATTTATAGGAATTACTGAGTCTTGTCATGATGGATGTTATAATGGTAGAGGTATTCAAGGTTTAAATGTTAAGAAATTTGATCGAGAAGTAGTTCTTCAAGTACATTTGTATATATTGAATAACCTTAGTGAATTTCAACCTTACTTGGCCGCTCACAAAAGTCTTATAAAGGAAAAATTCCCCTGTATGAATAAAAAATGGTTGTTGACAGAGCATAACAAAACTTTCATAACTTTGTTTAATGAATGTATTTCTAAAGAGAGTAGTACATCAGATACTTGCAAATGATTATCATGTATGCCTAGTTTAATGTAATTACTTGGAGTGCATACAACATTATAAATATTCATTTTATACAAAACCAAAGGATGATCGTAATACCCTGTAAAATAGTGGGGTTATTGTTTAGGCTGAATCCATGTACTTTTCTAGTTTCAAAGATAACAATCTTGTATTAGCATATAGAGGGTACTTTGGGGTCATTGAGGAGATTTTGGAGATTGGCTATGTTTCTTTTAAAGTGCTTTTATTTAAGTGAAAGTGGATTGACAGTAGCACTGGCGTAGACACCGATGAATTATGATTCACACGAGTTCATATTCAAAAGGAAGCTTATAAGAGCGCATCATTCATTATGGAAACCCAAGCAAAACAAGTTTTTTCTGTCACTGATACTTCTAACACTAGATGATCAATTATTCTTCAAGGAAAACATCTTCTTGATAATACTGATAAAAATCAAGATTTTAATTATGAGACGCCTTGTTTAGCAACACAATGACTCCAATCATCTAAAAAAAATGCTTCAATTAATGTGTATGATATTCGCTGTGATTATGAAGAGGGGATGTGGGAAAACTAGTAAGTAAATATTGGTTAATCATTTATTATAGTTTCGATGTAAAATTATAAAATGTGTGCCATTTTGGGTTTGCATTTGGTATAATCAATGAATATTTGTGGTACAATGGTTCAGATTGAGAAATTGGCAATACGTACAATATTTTTGTTTCAGAAATATGCAAAATATGGTTATATTCCTGTAATACGGTTCTGTAATATAGGTGCAAACGACAGTACAAAAAATGAAAAAACTTATCCCCTCGGTTTTTACATAAAAATGAGATAATAACATTGAGATATTACCCCAGTTCTACAAAATACTGAGTGTTAATATTGGGTGCACCATCCAGTCTTGAAAATGATAAAGATGTAGATGCTGGAGATCGAACTCACGTGTGGATAATTTTACCCCTCAAAGTTTAAATAACTGAGGTCTAAAGTAGTAGTTTTTCATGATGCCCTTCGTTACCTTGTTTTCGTAGCCGAGGTCAAATGCACTTCACGTCCAACGTTAGATGTTTTTTTTGTAGTAGTGTCAAAACCCACGAATCAAAAATATCCGACAGAATGATCAAACAAATTGAAATGAGATGGAGTGACCCAAACTACCAAACGTAATTCGCCGCTGCCGCTGTCTGACCTCTACCGACTAACTGACCTCTGCCGATTGACTGGCTTCTGATGGCCGGAGCCCGTCGTTGGATTGTCGTCGTGCGGTTCTTGTGCCACCACCCCGAGGACTTGTAGGCCACCGTTTTCCGTTGATTGCGTCGTTGTTGCCTTCCATCGATTTTCGGCGGCTGCCTCCCGCTACCTCCTGTCACCTCTATCAGATTGCCTACCCGCGCTTCTGAAGCATTGTGTCAATCTCAAGGCTGCTTTTTGAATTTTCGGTTTCTACAATCTCGAAAAATAATTTCTTTCTCTTCATCACCTAATATTTTAAGGCTTATTTCAACAATCTCCACCTTAACTTAAAATTACGTTATGTCAATTTATCCATCAACCAACTTACTGCTCTTTTTCAATTCAACATTTATTAAATAATTTTTATCAAGTTCAAGTCTCATTTGAAACTTTATCTTGTCACTTGGAACCACTTGCTTCCAACCACCTTTGTCTATTTTAGTAGTCTAATAAACCCACAAATATGATTCTTTAATCATCTTTGACTCCGCCCGCATTTAAATACCTCAATGAAAGTCCTTGTTTCTGACTTTTGCAACCCTTCATAAAGATCATTTCTTATACTTTTGTCTCTTCATGCTACCATTATCCTCCATGTATATATCCTAATAAGATAATTGGCAATAATAATTCTTTAGAGAAACCTTCGCCCACTTGTTTTGATTTTTTCTCACTCCCTTCGGCTGCATCTGTTAACATTGGTTGGCCTGTCCCTGTCAGTCTAATAAGTGGTGCTTATGATTGCTTTGTTTTTAAATAAATATTTCATTCTACTTAAAGCATAATATATGTCCTATTTATACAATATTTACTATATATATATATATATATATATATATATATATATATATATATATATATATATATATATATATATATATATATATATATATATATATATATATATATATATATAGCCATGTTCTCTCTATTAAAGCAAAGACATACACTTTAACACTGCATAAAAAGATGAGTAACTTTGCAGAGAGAAAGCCACATGCAGTGTTAACTCCATTTCCAGCTCAAGGCCATATCAATGCATTGTTGAAACTAGCAAAACTACTTCACCTTAGAGGCTTTCACATAACCTTTGTCAACACTGAGTACAACCATAAACGCTTGCTCAAATCAAGAGGTCCAAAAGCCTTCGAAGGTTCAACCGACTTTACCTTTGTGACCATACCAGATGGTTTAACTCCAACGGATGGTGATGGTGATGTTACTCAAGATGTACGCTCTCTTAGCCAATCAATATTGAACAACTTCCATCACTTCTTTGATGAACTTCTTGCTAAACTTCATGAGTCTACCACTTCTGGTCTTATCCCTCCGGTAACCTGCTTAGTTTCTGATAGTTTCATGCCATTTACGGTAGATTATGCTGAACAGCATGCACTTCCAGTTGCTCTCTTTTCTCCATGCAGTGCTTGTTTCTTCTTGTCTAATTATCACGTTCCAAAATTGTTTCAAAATGGTGTACTACCACTCAAAGGTATATCTATGTTCCCTTTTTTCTTCCTAATAAAGGTAGGTATCTTTATATTCAAATTATTGACTTTTGCAATTATGATATGCAGATGAGAGTTATCTAAGTAATGGATATTGGGACACTAAAGTTGAATGGATTCCAGGTTTGAAAAACTTTAGAGTGAAGGATCTTCCTACTTCTATAAAGACAAGAAATTCAAATGACTTGTTGATAAAATTTACAGCTGAAATGACAGGTAGATATCATAGAGCTTCTGCTATTATTTTCAATACTTGTGATGAACTTGAGAGAGATATTATGAATACCCTCAATTCTATATTTCCTTCTCTATACACCATTGGTCCATTAGCTTCTTTTTTGAATCAAAGTCCACAAAATAATTTGATATCTCTAGAATCTAATCTTTGGAAAGAAGATACTACTTGCCTTGAATGGCTTGGATTAAAAGATGATGAATCTGTTGTTTACGTAAATTTCGGAAGTGTCACAGTTATGACTGAAGAGAAACTGTTGGAGTTTGCATGGGGATTGGCTAATAGCAAGAAACCTTTTTTGTGGATTATTAGGCCTGATCTTGTGATTGGTGGCTCAGTGGTTTTATCATCTGAGTTTGTGACAGAAATTTCAGATAGAGGCTTGATAGCAAGTTGGTGTCCACAAGAGAAAGTGTTGAACCATCCTTCAGTTGGTGGATTCTTGACTCATTGTGGATGGAACTCTACCACTGAAAGTGTTTGTGCTGGAGTGCCAATGCTTTGTTGGCCATTTTTTACAGATCAACCACCAAACAGTAGACTTATTTGCAATGAATGGGAGATTGGGGTTGAAATTGATACTAATGTAAAGAGAGAAGAGGTTGAGAAATTAGTGAATGAATTAATGGTGGGAGAGAAAGGAAAGAAGATGAGGAAAAAGGCTATGGAGTTGAAGAAGAAGGTAGAGAAAGACACAAGACCGGGTGGTAGTTCATACATAAACTTGGACATGGTGATTAAGGATGTCTTGCTTAAACATTATTAGAGTAAGTTCTATTTTCTAAGTTGTAAGCAATCACAAACTTTGTATTTTTCTCATTTATTTGTTCTAAAGTTATCCTCTCTTAAACTTCCTAGAATATTGTTTGATTTTAACAAGGGATGAGAGAACTTTGGCAGAGGAGAGGTGTAGTAAGTTGAGAGAGAAAAAAAAAAAGTCTCAATATGTGTTCCTTACTTATATATAGCCGAGTCATTTTCATTTTTAGTACACATACTGTCAAGAATAATGTCATCGAATATATGTGATGTCATGACTTTGATAATATAAAAATAGAGTGATCATAAAATTCGTGAGTGAATCACATCGTAGCTACATAATGAGTAAAATGTCTGTGAGGTTTGAGGCCAATTCGGTATCTTAAATGGATACATTTTATTCAATTTCTCCCAAAATTCAAGAGGTTTGAGGCCAATGAAATATATCTCATCTATTATGTTATTATAATCTTCGTTGAGTAGGGTATCTGATTGTACTTGATCAGAAGAGATTGTTAAGATTTACGAGTTTTGAGTCGAGTAGATGTTGAATGTAAAGTGAGAGTACCTGCAAGACATTCAGATGTCAAAATAAAATTTAGAGCAAGTGCAAGTAAGTACGAGAGTATGGGTGAATGAATGAATACCTGACCCTCTCAAGTGAGAGGGTATTTATACCTCCCAACATTGGGCCAAGGTCTTTAGTGATGGGCCACGATGAGCCTCAACAACGAAGACCGTCAGAGTTTACAGGTGTATGGAGTCCAGTACATGGCCTCCTCCCTGGTCAACTGCCCCGAGAAAATAGGAGAGTTGGACCCGTTATTCTCGGAGGGCAGGATGATGATGATATGGACACATGAGTTATGTTCTCCTAGTAGACACATGGGGAAATGCCCAACGGTCCTCAGTTTGGGCCGCATGCTTTTGGGCCTTTGTAAAGGCGCTGGATCGGACTTCCCTAATGGTGGGGTAAGTATCGGCCCATTCCAGAACAGAAGTCCCCCAAGTTATTATCCTTAGGTGAAAGAGTGATGACTTGAGATCAGTTCAAGTGTCGGGGAAGTGTTGCCCGAGAAGGGAAACTGCTAACTCCCATCGGGGATGGCTCCGTGACTCATGTTGAGGATTCAAAAAATACGCTTGTGGTATGGTCGACCAGCCCGGGGAGAAGTTCATTGGTCGACTTCATTTTCTGCTCATATCGACGTAGTGCCCGTTAGGGACCTAGATTCACGGGGGTGCGAGAAGTTTCCCCGAGTGTTCGTCTTCGACGTGCCCATCTGTAAGGCGTTGTAATGATGTCGAGTGTTTTCCCGCCATCGAGAGTGAAACGTCATTGATGTGCCTGTATCTAAGGAGTTGTAATGACGTCAAGCGTTTTCCCACCACCGAGAGTGGAATGACGCAGGCGCGTGGTTTTGCTTGAGACCGTTGTCGGCGACTGTTGTACCCCAAAATTTGTCCTCTCATTTCTCAAGGAATCACCTTGGATCCTCAAGTTTGGCTTCCATCAAATTTCCAAGCCTTGAATTATCAATTTTCCAAGAAAGTCATTCACAAGGGCAAAATGGTCATTTGCACACTGAAAAGTCAAACTTTGACTTTTGGATCAAAATCAAGCTTCAAGAATCATATTTCATCAAGACATGTTGGAATATGAAGTTTGTTTCATCAAGAATTTCAAAAGTCAAATTTTGCTTTGGAAAAGTCAATTTCTAAATACTTAGAAATTTTTCTAAGTGTTTAAGAAATATGACAATTTCAGAACTTCTGACCAGATTATCACCATAACACTCAACAAGTTCTGGATATTCTCAAGATAGAGTTTGGTCAGAACTTCTGGGCAAGTTTTCACAAAAGCTTCAGTCAGAGTTTTCCAGGATAATTCAAAGAAGGTTAAGAAGCATGCTGCAAGGTTTCTAGAAAGTCTGAAAGCTCCTTCAGAACATGCTGGAGCCAGAAGATAAGAGGATCAAAAGATTGGATGCTACGCAAGCTCAAAACTTCTGATCCAGAACTAAGCCTTAGTGTAGAATCTCACGTTGCAGGATTTCTGGTTGTGATAAGTCTCATCATCATTTAATGCTCATTTAATGCTCACAACCACTTTATGAGTCTTTATCCAAAGGATTTTCACCATGTGTACCTCTACTGTCTTGGGATAGCAACTTTGATACTAACCTCATGCTTTGCTTTTTTCTTTTCCTTAATTCCTGCTGACAACCATCATGCTTGCTTCAAGAACAAGGCAGCGCTTTAGCATATGAGGGTTATATTCAACACTTTGGTCAGAACTTGACCAAACCCCAAAACCTTGTTTATACAACTCGCTGCAGACCTATGACCAACAGCTAATTCAGCCTACGCCTGCATCCCATAATTGCACCAAACTAGCATACAAAGACTGTGATTAAAAAGAAAAGGAACAATATGCCAAAAGTGTTTAAAACTCATGTGTTTTTCCCCCCCAAAATCACAATAAATCCATCTATAAATAAGTTGCTCCATCACACGTTCAAGGGGCTGGCTTTTGGAGAGAGGTTGGCGAAAGGAGAGAAAACAAAGCTGTGAAACCCTCATAAAAATCCAGATTTCCCAAACAGAAAACCAAACCTTTGTTCTTCCCTTTGAATCAAAGAACTTGGCATTTTCTCTTCTGTTACTCTTGTTGATTCCAGGACATCCAAAGGCAACCACTCAAAGCTCCAAGCCCGCGCTCCATATTCAAGGTAAGTCTTTCTGACCTTTGCATTTTTTATTCAGAACATCATTAAACATGTAAATACCATAGTATTAATGTTGTTTATATCATTGCATGAATAGAAAAACTATGGATCAGAATATCTTGATTAAGGTTAGGCTCAGGATTAAGATCAGAACTTCTATAAACTGTTGTGTTGATTTGCTGTTTGTTAAAAAATGAATAATTTATTGTTGTGCTGATTAATATGAGAAAAAAAGGTCATAATGTAACACAGAACTTCTAGGATTTTCTCACTGTTTAAGCACGCAGAACTTCTGAGTTCTCTTCACTGTTTTAATACACATAACTTCTATGATTTTTCTCACTGTTAACACACAGAACTTCTATGATTTTCTCACTGTTAACACACACTAAACTTCTGATGTTCATTCACTAACTCAGTACAATACAGAACTTCTGATGTTCACTCACAGTCTTAACATAACATAGAACTTCTGAATTCTCCTTACATGTCAAATACACTGAACTTCTGATGCTTACATGCTGATAACGCACTGAACTGCTGATGTTTACTCACTGTTTTAGCGTAACACAGAACTTCTGACTTTTGGTTCAATTGCTGAACACCACCCAGAACATCTGTGTTTCCCTCAAACATTTTTTGCAGGACTTCATAATGTACCAATCCAGAACCTTTGTTCCCTTCCCTCTGATGTTTCTTGCAGGGGCCTCAGAGCTTACCAATTCAGAACTTCTGATACCCACTGACGTTCCTCTCTGAGTCATCACACGCCTGGATTCAGAACTTCTAAACTTCCATTTTTCTACTAACATTTGTTTCAGTTTGTGCAGCACGTCAAAGCCAGAACTTCTGACCTCTTCTGTTTCAGCATTTACGCTGATTCTGTTTTCTTTCTCTTTTATTATTTTTTGCCATCATCTTTATTTTTCATTAATCAAAAATACCAAAAATATTTCATATTCACATATTATATTTTATTTTCTTTTAACATTAAAAGACAAAAAATATTTTCTTAAACAAAACTTATTTCTTTTCTTAAATAAATAAGCATTTTGCATTTTCTGTACATTCTTATCCATTTCAATATGGTTGTAATAGTAACTTATGACTTATTTTTTACTTGCAACCCCCATTTGTAAATTTGTATACCCCATCCCCAAATATTGTAATAGCGTAGGACTTTACATTTATGCAATTCATCACTTTCAAATGTAAATGCTAGTAATTAGGGTGTGTATGGCAAGATATGAAAATCAACAAATAGATCACCCTAATCAAGACTAAATGTATGCAATCAAACAAACTTGCACACTAGCACCCTTAGGATAATCCCACTTGTTTCCTATCATAAAAATAGTCATGTCCCTCAAACATGAGTGTTTTAGCAAAGACCCTCGATAAAAGATCGTAGTCCCTCGATGACCCACGACGTTGCCTTCGGTAAATGATCCAATCTCTAAACGACATTGCTAAAGCGTCCCATATGTTTCCTTCTATGACTATACAAATGTCCCAACGCCCGTCCCTTCACATCCAACAATGGGGCTTCTTACAAAATTAATGGTAAGATAGCCACATCTAAAGGAGGAGGAAAAACACATCTAAGACCTTTTGAGTAGGTAGGTTCGCTCTCATTTACTCGCTTGCTCACAACAAAAACATTTTATACACCAACACTCTCATTTTGAAACATTTTTTAAAACAACACTTTGTATACATTCTTATAGAAACGAGAACCATTACAAAGACACCTTTTCAAAATCACTTTCAAAAACACATCTCACAAACACCTCTTTGAACTATTTTCGAAACAAACACTTTGTATGTGTTCTTATAGAAACGAGAACCATTACGAAGTTATATTTTCAAAATATTTTCAAAAACCACACAAAGTACCATTTCAAAACAAAAGCAAGTGATCTAGCGAGTAACTAAGAGCCCATGGAAAACCATGGATGAAAAGAGTGCTAATACCTTCCCTTTTCATAATCTACCCCCCAAACTCAAGAAAACATCTCTAAAGGTCTTTCTTGTGCTTTTTCACCTTTCCTTTTTGGATAAAAGAAAAATCGATGGCGACTCTTGCTAAACCGCAATATTTGCAAACACAAACACAAAACCTCAAGTCAGTTCTCCCACCGTATCACAGAACTGACGACTCTGCTGGGGAAAATCTAAAAGTGGGGTTACCTTAGGGTTAGATCACCTTTATTTGCTTACATTGTTTGATTTGTTTGCTTTACATTTTGGTTCCTTGTTTGCGTTTGTTTTAAATCCT